ACCTCCTACTAGCTGGCCTCCACCTCTAGCGGCCTGACCTCCACCTCTAACACCTCGACCCCTACCTCTAGTTGGCTGAGCGGGCGTTGGAACACCCGATGCCGGAACCATGGCACGAGAACCCTGATGCTGAGAACTGCACGAGGCTCGAGGCTCGAGGGCAAAATCTATCAATGTGCCTCGTATCGCCACAAGTATAACAAAACTTCAGATGCTGAGACTGCTGACAATGAAACTGACCTTGACGGCCTGAGTAACCACCCTGAAAACTCTAGAGCGGAGGTGCACTGATAGGAGCTGGTGGTGCACAGTGGGGTAGCTGATCAGAATACTGCATATGAGAACCATGGCCACCGTGAGAAGCCTGAAGTGCTGAATGAAACGGCCTGGGAGGATGGCCTCTACCAAAAGAATCCCTGCCTCCAGACGAGGCACCACTGAATCTGCTAGAATGACGAGGCCTCTTGTCAGACCCTTGACCGCTCCCCTGAGCTAGAACCATCTCAACCCGCCTAGCAACATTGGCCGCATCCCGAAAAGAAATCTCGCTCCCTGTCTCCTTAGCCATCTGCAATCTAATAGGCTGAGCGAGTCCCTTAATAAACCTCCTCACCCTCTCTCTCTCTCTCTCTCTCTCTCTCTCTCTCTCTCTCTCTCTCTCTCTCTCTCGGTAGGGAGTATCAGAAGAGCATGACGAGCCAAATCAATAAACCTCATCTCGTACTGGGTGACAGTCATAGAACCCTGCTGAAGATGCTCGAACTGCCTGCGGTACTCCTCTCTCTGAGTGACGGGAATGAACTTCTCGAGAAATAACTGCGAGAACTGGTCCTAAGTGAGAGCTGGTGACCCGGCTGGTCTGGCCAAACAATAATCTCTCCACCATTTCTTGGCGGAACTTGACAGACGATAAGCAGCAAAGTCGACCCCATTGGTCTCCACTATCCCCATGTTCCGAAAAACCTCATGACAACTGTCCAAATAATCCTGGGGATCCTCTGAAGATGTACCGCCATAGGTAGTAGTGAAGAGCTTGGTGAACCTGTCCAATCTCCACAAAGCATCTGAAGACATAGCCGATCCATCATCGGTCTGAGCTACAACACCCGGTGGGACTACCCCAACTGGCTGAACTGCTGGAGTCTGAAACTGGGGAGCCATCTACTCCGGAGTGCGAGTAGCGGGAGTGTGTGCTCCTCCCCAGCCTGAGAGACGGCTGGTGCTACGGGAAGTATGCCTTCCAGAGTGACACGCTCTATAAGGCCCACTAGACGGACCAGAGCATCCTGGAGTACTGGGATATCAATGAACCCCTCTGGGACCTGAGCTGGGCCCGCTGGAACTGTCTAGGCCGGAACCTCATCATCAAACTCTACCTGAGGCTCCGCCCCTGGTGCTGCTGCTTTGGGCTGAGCTCTGCCCCTGCCTCGGCCTCTAGCACGGCCCCGGCCTCGTCCTCTGCCCCTCGTAGGAGCTGCCGCTAGGGGCTCGGGCTGCTGATCAGCTGATGAAGCGGTACGTGTTCTCGCCATCTGTGAAAGAATAGAGTAGAAGTTCAATTCGCATTAGGAAATCAAACCGCACGACAGAGATGAATAGAAGTGAAACTGTTCCTAACTCTGTAGCCTCTGGGGGATAAGCACAGACGTCTCCGTACCGATCCCTCAGACTCTACTAAGCTTGTCCATGAATTGTAAGACCTAAGCAACCTAGAGCTCTGATATCAACTTGTTACGACCCGAATTTCCCACCGCCGGGACCGTGATGGCGCCTAACATTGTACTAGCTAGGCAAGCCAACGTTATAAATTATTTCACCTTTTTCTTTTATCTTTTAACAAATTACACATTAACAATAGTAAATCAACGGAATAAATGCGAAAGAACATAATCTAACAGATTATCTTAATACCACAACGAGACCATATAAAACTCCACCCAGAACTGGTGTCATAATCTCACGGACGGTCTACGAATACTACAAACAATGGTCCCCTACCCAGCCCAATCATCGCAAATGCGATGGTCCTTCGCAATTGCGGTGCTCGCATTTGCGAGCCAGACTTCACAAATGCGAAGTCCGCAGACCTGCAATACCAGCAATTTTTCCTTAAGGTTCAAAACACTCCGTGACCTATCCAAAACTCACCCGAGCCCTCGGGGCTCCAAATCAAATATGCACACAAGTCTAAAAACATTATACGGACTTGTTCATGCGATCAAATCGCCAAAATAACATCTTAACCGTCGAACTTAGCATCAAAATCAATAAATTCTCAAGAACACTTAAAGTCTCTTTTTTCACAACCGAGGGTCCGAATCACGTCATATAAACTCCGTTTCTTACTAATTTTACAGACATAATCTAAATACCATATTAAACCTGTACCGGGCTCCGGAACCAAAATACGGGCCCGATACCATCAAATTCAAACATTATTCAATTTCTAAACTCCTTATATTTTTTAGTTAAATAATTTTCTTCAAAAATTCATTTCTCGGGTTAGGGACCTGGGAATTCAATTTCGGGCATACGCCCAAGCCCCATATTTTTCTACGGGCCCTTCGGGACCGTTAAATCATGGGTCCGGGTCCGTTTACCCAAAATATTGACCGAAGTCAACTTAATTCAATTTTAAAGGCAAAATTTAGCATTTTTCTGAAATTTTCACATAAAGGCTTTCCGGATATACGCCCGGATTGCGCACGCAAATCCAGGTGAGACAAAAGGAGGGTTTTAAGGCCTAGGAACACAGATTTAACTTCTAAAACAAGAGATGACCTTTTGGGTCATCACAAAATTGGACAAGTCGTGGCTTCAAATTCCAATTCTGTTGAAGGTACATCGCTATGCTATTATGTTTCCAGTAATTTGACTACTGATATGATAGTTTTCTTCCTCCAATTGTACTTCCCAGAAAAAGAAAGAATTTGAATATAGGCTATGTGTTATTGATTTCATACATCGTTAAATACGTGAGCAGATTATTTTTCGCGTGCAAAGGTTGGCATTCCACAAAATCTCTGCCATTCTCCAAATACACAGGTGGAACATATGAGATTGGATGGACTGTTGCAGCAGTACTTCCTGTATGTACATAGCTTGGCGATATAGACGAGGATGTAAATTCACGTTTTATGTTATGAAGCTTGATTTGGAACTTGATGTCTTTGTGTCTAATGCTATTGCCTTGTTAAACATGTTGCCAAATTTTGACTTGCAGAAAGGATCTCTGATGCTATGGTGGTAAGGAATTCATGAATCTCGTTAATTGCTGCATACGAGAAAAGATATTATGCCAGATAAAGCCCTAAAGTACTTTCAGGAGGATGTTACAGGGGATTCAACCTGACTTAGTGCTTTAGTGAGATTACGCTTCTAATATTGTTAGGACCAAAAAAAAATCCTTTGAGCAGATCTTTTCGTGGATTTATATTGAGGAGATGTTGGATTGAGAAAGATGTTACTTTGGGGAATGTCATGGTTGATATGTATGTTAATTTGTGTTTTATCGACTGCAGTCATGAGGTTATTGAAGAGATCCCTGCTAAGGATGTAGTTTTGTGTAACAGAGTGACCACAAGTAAATGCTCAAAAGGGCCGTGCAAGAGAGGCTATTGAAGTATACAACATAATGAATGACATACCATTTAGGCACATTGCAAGAAGGATGAGGACTCATGGGCATGAGTTGAAGGTTGTTCTACATTTGGATGTCTTTATTGTACCTTCCTCATCGACCTCTATTGAAAATGTACAAGGCTGGAATTCCATGTCTTTATTTTATGAGGCATCTAGGGTTAATTTAGTCCCTTATAACGCAATAATATCATCTCACTGTATCCATGGGAATGGTATGATATATATCTCTGTGACTATTTAAGGTTATGCTGGAATTTTTTCTCTATTGGCAGTTGTAGGCCATTCAGAATCAAGTACTCATTTTGTGCAATGGAGCCGGAGTTGGTATTATACCTATACTAAAGCTTTTTATCTGCATGGTATTGATGGATCTGTTTGCTGGGGCTGAGGACCTAGAAATGGCAAAGCATTTGATAAGAAGCATGCCTTTCGCCCGATGCTTTGCTCTGGGGTGTTCATCTTTTTTGAACAATGAGCATGTGAAGGCAAAGTTCAAGCTGTAGTTGCAACAATCCAGTTGGGATCCAGCTCATCCTAGATTAGTTAAGATATTAGAAGTGATTGTATAGGAGTTAGTTAGTTAGTTACAACTATAAATATACTGTATATATAATAGCTAAAAACAAATTTTTCATTTTCTTTTCATATTAGAAATGCAGAGCATCCTTTGCTTTCTTCAACATTGAGCTCTCTTTCCTTCTTCGTCTCTCAAGCTGAAAACTCCATTTCCATGGAAATTATCTTGGTATCAGAGCATGTGACGCTGATCGCTGGCACTCATTAACTCAGTTGCCTTCGTTAGGTTCTCCGATTCACTCAATTAAGTGAGTGAATTCTCGTGAGGGAACTCTAATTGAAACTAGGGCTTGATTTTTGTGGTTCACTTGATTAACTCAGCTAGAGATGGCATTTGAAAACGTAATTCATGGCACTACGACTGCAAATGCTACTGGAACTTCAAATTCAGCAAATGCTACGAATGGAGGAAGTGTCTTCCCTACAATCGATCACAATCACCCCTTGTACCTACAGCCAACTGACACACCAAGTAGTTATCTGATCTCTCTTCAACATGTTAGATCTGAAAACTATGCATTGTGGAGTCGTGCTATGCGAATTGGTCTGCTATATCCTAAGTCTAGGTTTTCATTTGATCTACATGATCTGTGGGAAAAGGTGAATGCTGTTGTCCTTTCATGGATTATGAATGTTGTTAGACCTGGTTTACTAAGTAGTGTGTTGTATGCATCGAGTGCACATAAGGTCTGGGAGGATTTGAGAGAGAGAGATTTGATAAAGTGAATGGCTCGAGGTTGCAGTTTCTTCATAAGGAAATTCACTCACTTAGTCAAGGCACTATGAAATTAGCTGACTACTTTTTCAAACTCAGAGATCTATGGGATGAGTTTGATGCAATTATGCCATGCCCTGGGTGTCCATGCCCAGAGTCTAAGAGATATTTGGAGCATTTTGAATATCAAAGGCTCCTTCAATTTTTGACAGGATTGAATGAAACATACACACAAGCCAGAAATCAAATCATGATGATGCATCCAACTCCCTCCTTGAACAAGGCATATTCCTTGATTATTGACCAAGAGAGTCAAATGAGTATAGCTAATCTAACTCAGATTGTTCAAACCTCTGAACTTCTTGAAGGAGCTGCTTTGTATAGTAACAAAGAAGCAGGATACACTGGAGGCAATCTCAAGTTTAAGAAGAACCAGTTGCAGTGTGAGTATTGCCATTACAAAGGCGACTCAAAGGAAAACTGCTTCAAGCTGATTGGTTATCCTCCAGATTTTAAGTCAAACAGGAAGGGAAACAACTCAGGTAGTTATTCAAACTTTACTTGTAATCTTGATGCTAACTCAACAACAGGTAACTATGTGAACAAACCTGCTCCACCACCTCTACTACAGCTTCAACAACAAGGACGGAATGCTCCCACAGTAACTGATAAACCCATGGCACAACCTCCAACTCCATTCTTTACACAGGAACAATACCAACAGATCATCCAACTACTCAGCAAGGGAAACAATGAAGGTTCATCTGAGAAATCTACAGCAGCTGCAACAGGTACTATGAAAGCCTTATTCACTTCATGTGTTAATAAAGAATGGATAATAGACACATGAGCAACATATCATATGGCATCCATTTTAGAAGTGTTGAAAACCTTTAAGAAAATACCTATGTCTGAAAGGAGTAAAGTTCATCTGCCAACTGGTGATGTAGCTTATGTATCTCACACAGGAAAAGCTTATGTAATTGAGGGTCAGGACATATCTAATGTACTGTTTATCCAGAATTCAAATACAACCTTTTGTCTGTGTCTAAACTGACAAAGGAGTTGCAGTGTTCGGCCTTATTCTTTCTTGACTTCTGTATCTTCCAGGATCTCTGGAGTGGTCAGGTGAAAGCGATTGGTAAGGAGAATCATGGACTATATGTGCTGAAGAGGAACTTTGCACAGCAAGGCTCATCATTGACAGGGATTAAAAATGCAGGAAATAATAGTGTCTGTACCAGAAGTCACTCTTTTCTTACTACTTTAATTTGGCATAGAAGGTTAGGACATGCACCACTTGATGCAATAAAGAGGCATGATGTACTCAGACATCTAGAAGAGGGTGAGCATCATCCTTGTACTGTTTGTCCTCTAGCTAAACAAACAAGACTGCCTTTCCCTTTGAGTAATACAATGTCAAAATCTGCATTTGAATTGATTCACTGTGACATTTGGGGTCCCTATAGAGTACCTACATATGATGGCAAACGGTATTTTGTGACTATTGTAGATGACTTCACAAGATACACTTGGATATTTCTAATTCACTCCAAGTCAGACACATTGGTAGTGCTGAAAAATTTCTTTGCCAAAGTTCACAACTTATTTTCTACTCAAGTGAAAACACTTAGGACAGACAATGGATGCGAGTTCTTCAGTTCTGACTTCACTAGTTTACTACTGGAACTAGGCATTGAGCATCAGAGTACTTGTGTATATACCCCTCAACAGAATGGTGTTACTAAGAGAAGGTATAAGGCAATCTTAGACATGGCTAGACCACTCAGATTTCAAGCATCAATACCCTTAAGGTTTTGGGGAGAGTGCGTTAACACTGCTGTGTACTTACTCAACAGGCTTCCTTCCAAAGTCATCGGCTACAAATCACCTCTTGAAAAGCTCTACTTACACCCTCCTTCCTTGAATCATTTGAGAGTGTTTGGTTGCTTGACCTATGAAACCGGTCCTAATATACATGACAAGTTCTCCTCCAGGCCAATACCATCTGTTCTCTTGGGGTATTCTCCAACACACAAGGGTTATATTCTATACAATCTACATTCTAAAGTTTTCTTTGTAAGCAGGAATGTAGTATTCCATGAAGCCATCTTTCCTTTCAAGTACATGAGTGTCACACCTCCTTTTTCCGAAAGGGGATAGGGAGTTTTTCCAATTAAAGTGACAATAATCGAAATAAAATTATTTATTTTATTCAGAGTCTCCACTTGGGATAATTATATGGTGTCCCAGGTCACCGGTTTATTTTAAATCCCAAATCGAGGAAAATTTGACTTCGTTTAAAGTCTGCGAAACCAGAAAAACTAGGTAAGAAATTCTGTTAACCCGGGAGAAGGTGTTAGGCATTCCCGGGTACCGTGATTTTAGCACGGTCGCTTTAATCATACCTGGCTTAATTAATTATTTTAATTACTTATTAGAACCTATGTGCATTTACCGTTCTAACCGCTTTTAAATACTTGATTATTAGTAATACGGAATTATCTTAAAACGAGTCACGCATACGTGTACTCATTTTGTTTTGCGCGTTAAGAATCATGTCACACGTTCATGTACACAATTAATCACGCTTTATTAATTATTAAGAAAATTTGGCCAAAGTTGCGCGAACTCATACCTCGATTTATTTTAAAAATCATAATTATGTCACGCGAATGTGTACACAATCACGATGATAAATTTAAAAAGCGTCTAAAGCATACTAATCGTATTCATAATTCCTCCTAAACTTTGAGATTATTGCAAAGTCATGAAGTATGGATTCGAAATTATTGGAGGCCTAAACTACCTTATTTAATGTCCAATCCAAAATCTAAAGTCCACCACATTAGAGGCCCATTTCTTCTTGGCCTATCCTAGACCCAAATTGCATTTTTCACCTTAGCCCAGATTCAAATGATTTCCTCCTTTTTTAATAAATAAATAAAAATCCAGCAACAAACAAGCGTCCCAAATGAATTGAAGATCCAAAAAATCACAAAAAAAGACAAAACAAAGCACTGAAATCTCCACAAAAAATATAGCAGAAATCAACAAAAAAAATACTAAACTCAAACAGTTAACAAGACAAACAGCAAAGATTAAAAGAAAACTGAATTTTTTTGATATTAAGAGCAAAAAACAGTAAGAAATGGAACCAAAATTGGAAATGGATTAAACACTAAATCAAACAACAAAGTAAGGCAACCTGAAAATTAGAACAAAGTAGTTAAAGAAACAGAAAGAACGGACTGTCTTATATACATGAAGATTTGTTGACTACAAAGATGGAGTTTCGACGAGAGAACTCGAACAAACCGGACCGGGCGCGCAGAGCTTCATCGGAGACCTCGAGTGACAGAGTTTTGAGCTGTGTTTCCATGGAGTTTTCAGCTGCGTTTTGGGTTGATGAAGGGTGTTTCTGGGCTGTTTTTACTGGGTTATAGGGCTGTAGTTTGGTATAATTTTCAGCTCGTTTCATGGCTGTTTGGGATGGTGTTCATGGGTCTTTCATGGCTGGCTTTTTTTGAAGCTCTTTTTGCTGCGTTTTTATGGCATTTAAGAGGTGGTGTTGGGACTGTTTTAGGCTAGTTTTTGCAATGGAACAGTGAGTTTTCTGGGCTGCTTTGTAGCTGCGTTTTTTTTGCTCCTACATGGCTAATTTTTGGTGGTTTTATGGAGGAGCCTTGATGTTGTTTCACTCCTTTTTACCATATCTCTGTCTTTCTTTCTTATATAATGCGGGTCTGTGTCGTGTATTGAAAAGGAAAAGAGAGAAAAGGTCCTTCACCTCAAATCTTTTCTTTATCCCCTTTCCCGTTTTCCTCTCACTCTTTTTGTTTGTTTTTTTTTCCAGATCCCTCGTCCCCTTCCCTTTTTTTTGTGCAAATCTCCTCCTTTATTGAGCATTTTTCTAGGTGTTATATAGTACAAGCATTATGTGGTATCTTGGGGAGAAAGGATGAGATAAGTGAGGTGTTGAGAATGTGCATGTGAGTTTTGTTATGGGAAGATAAGGAGGAATCTTTGGCAAATGACATTTTTAATTGGTTCTTTCTATATATATATATATATATATATATATATATATATATATATATATATATATATATATATATAATACTCTACTAAGAAAAGCTATAACATTATTAGTGTTACCAAATAAGAGGAAAAACATATTTTTTTGTAAATTTTCTATTCTTTTGAAAATGAAATACATCTAATATATAAAAGTGTAAGCCTTTTTGTAGTTTTAATTTTATCAAATAAAAAACTTATAAAAAGATGAAATAAAACTAAAATATTAAGTTTAAACTTAAAATCTATTTAAATATTAAAAAGTGAGTGAAAAAATCAAATATGGTCAAAAATTAGGTGCTCACAGCTGCCCCTCTTTGCTTGAAAACATGAAAAGTTTTCAGGAAAAGACAAAGTGAGCCGTGTGACTAATTTTTTACCATATCGTTATTAAAAAGAGGAAGAAAACAAAAGAAAAGGGTGCAACCGAGTCCTGATTTTGGACAACCTACATATCCCGGGTTATAAGGGAATCGGGTCGCGTGTAGTTCAAGGGGAATGATGGAATGCCGAGTTGGAGAGTCGAGTGAGGTTCCGTCCGAGTCTCCGGTCCCTGGTCCTGTTATTACATCAAAAATCAAAATTAAAAAGACTAACTAAGCCTATCAGCTACGAGTTACAAGATTCCTATCTATGCGTTTTCTGAAGCTTGATCTTGAGTCTTGGTTGATTCTTCATGCGGACTCTGATCTGAATATTGATGCTTGTTAGCTGCAGGTGCTGGTTCATTCCTTTTTCAGCTTTTTCAGATCAAGATAGGACATGCAGAGCTTGTGACTTCAATTATGTCTTGAGCAGTCCACATCTTTTCTCCGCTTCTGCAATTTGGATTCACTTTTTTTCCTTTCTTTTATTCTTGATTGACACTTCTTTTTGGTTATCTCGAACCCTTGTCGGCTTGCATTCTTGAAGCGAGCTTCTGCTACTTGAATTGACAACAGGATTGGAGGTTTCCCCTATTCTTCAGGAGGGGTCCTGATTCTGACTGGTACTTGAAATGAATTCCCTCATTCTCCAGGTGGGCGCCTGCTACTGACTTGAAACTTCAAATAACTCTGAAATGAGTTCCCTCGTTCTCCAGGTGGGCGCCTGCTACCGACTTAAAACTTGATACTCTTGAAATAAATACCCTCGTTTTCTAGGTGGGCGCCTGATACTACAGCAAAACAGACAAAACAAAGAAACTTTTCTGCCCCAGTTTGCACTAGGAAGATTTGTGAGTTATTAGCAGAACTATAAATCACCTATGCTATTGATAAATGATGCAATGATGAGAGTAAAATTGAAGACTCGACTAGGATGTGCGTCTCCTGTGAGTAAAACCAAGAAAATTTCGACTAGCAAATGCGTCTGCTAAAAAAACCTGAATGACCCAGACTAGGAAGTGTGTCTCCTAGATTTAAGATTGAGCTTACCAAAAACTATAAACTAAGCTTGACTAAAGTAAAAACTGACCCCATCTCCAGGCGGGACCCCTGATTTCAAGAAAACTAAAGATTGGTAACTTAAGAAAATTAAAAATTGACCATTTTTTTTCAAATCCAGACTTCCTCTTCTTTTTTTAAAGAAATTATTATCCTAGGAGAAAATTCATCAGACTAGGTTCTAATCATAGGAGAAAAATTCATCAGACTAAGACTTCGATCCTAGGAGAAAATTCATCAGACTAGGTTTTTTGTTATCTTAGGAGAAAGATTCATCAGACTAAGATTTTTATCCTAGGAGAAAGTTTCATCAGACTAGGTCTTTTATCTTAGGAGAAAGATTCATCATACTAAGATTTTGATCCTAGGAGAAAGTTCATCAGATTAGGTCACTTTTTTTGTTGTTGTGTGGTATCTTAGGAGAAAGATTCATCAGACTAAGACTTCGATCCTAGGAGAAAATTCATCAGACTAGGTTTTCTTATCTTAGGAGAAAGATTCATCAGACTAAGACGTTTATCCTAGGAGAAAGATTCATCAGACTAGGTTTTCTTATCTTAGGAGAAAGATTCACCAGACTAACATTTCTATCCTAGGAGAAAGTTCATCAGATTAGGTCTTCTATATTAGGAGAAAAATTCACCAGACTAAGACATTTATCCTAGGAGAAAGATTCATCAGATTAGGGTTTTATTTGTTATCTTAGGAGAAAGATTCATCAGACTAAGATTTCTATCCTAGGAGAAAGTTCATCAGACTAGGTTTTCTATCTTAGGAGAAAGATTCATCAGACTAAGATTTCGATCATAGGAGAAAATTCATCAGACTAGGTTCTTTTTTTTGTTTTGTTATTATCTTAGGAGAAAGACTCATCAGACTAAGATTTCGATCCTAGGAGAAAATTCATCAGACTAGGTTTTCTATCTTAGGAGAAAAATTCATCAGACTAAGATTTTTATTGGGAGAAAATCCATCAGACTAGGGCTTTTTACCCTAGGAGGAACAATGTGAGTAAGGCTATATTGTGGTCCGGGCCCAGCCCGGGACCGCGAGACCACGGGCTAAACGGGCCGGTCCAAACGGTCTGGTCCCAAGCGGTCCAAGGAGCCCATTGTGGGCCGGTCATCCATTTTGAGACCGCGAGCCCGGGACCGGCTGGCGGGCCTGGGCCGGTTCAACCGGTCCTAACGGGCCCAACAACTATTTTCCAATTTTTTTAAAAAAAATTGGCCAACGGTTAGAAGTTTAAAAACTAGCCGTTGGCCTGCCAATTTAGCCGTTTGGAGCCATTTGGCCCCCAAACTTTATTTTAACCCCAAATATTTTATAATTGCACTTTTTCCCTATTCTCAACTATAAATACCCCCTCATTCTTTCATTTTTACTCACAAAATCATCAACCTCTCTCAGTCTCTCTCTAATTTTCTTCTATAATTGCTTACTTTACTATTGCAATTTGTGAAAAATTGTGAAGTTGGTGAATTGAAGTATTCAAGTCTTCAACGATATATAATTTTCAAGAAGTTGTTCGTCAATTCGGTAAACTCGTTCCAACTCTTAAGTTTTAATATTATAGTTTTGTTTGTATAATTATAATTAATATGGCCTTTTCTTTGAAAAAATGTTTGGTGGTAAGGGAAAATCTAAAATTGGTGAATCTAGTGGCCAAGCTACTACTACTCCCCCGGCTCCTCGACCCAGACCTGTTACCCGTCCTCCTCCACCTATTATTATTGATAGTGATAACCCTTGTTTTCAATTTACCGATAGTCAATTTTGCCATGATATTGCACCAGGTCAACAATTAAATGATGAATATATGAATGCTTGATAACTAGGGATTATGATGCATTTTACACTCCGTCTTACTTGATTTTTGATTAGAAATGTGTACAAAATAGTCCCAAAGGCTTACGTGTTGTACTTGATTGCAGGGTTTGATAAACGAGGTGACAATTCGTCAAAACCGGCTCAAAAAGGAGTGAAACATGCACAAGTACCAAGAACAAGTCCAAGCTCAGTGTTAGAGGACCAATGCGGCCGCACTCCATTCTGTGTGGTCCGCAAAGAAGAGGTTCAGAGAGCACTCATCTCAGGCAGCAAAGCAATGCGGCCGCACTCCATTCTGTGTGGTCCGCAAAGAAGAGGTTCAGAGAGTGTTCATTTTAGGCAGCCAAGTAATGCGGCCGCTCTCCATTCTGTGCGGTTCGTATTGACTTCATTGCGGCCGCACTCGCTTTTGTGCGGACCACAAAGCTCAAGTTCAGAGAGTTGCCAAGTTGGAGGAAAATTGCCAATGCGGTCCGCGGTCTATTTTGTGCGGACCGCAACAGAAGCCACCGCGGCCGCAGTGCATTTTGTGCGGCCCGCGGTGGCCAAGTTCAGAGAGCAGGAATTTCAGCCAAGAGCCTTAGTGCGGCCGCACTCGATTTTGTGCGGTCCGCACTAGCCCCGCAGGGGTATTTTTGTCCTGAATTTTCGGCCTAGTATAAATTGTTTCTTTTCCCATTTTTAGGTCATCAATTAGATTTTGAAGCCGAGCTGCGCTCGTGAATAGTGTTCTTTTACCATTTTGAGTAATTTTACAATAGTTTTATCATTGAATCTTCAAGTTTTAGTTAGTAATTTAATATTATGGGTTTATCTTCATCTATTTCTTTGTTTTCCTCTATTATCATGAGCAGCTAGACCCTTCAGCTAGGGTTGTGGCTCAACCCTAGTGTGGGTAATTGATGGGTCTTGTGTTTTAAGGTTTGAATGTCTATGGGTGTTTGATATTTGGACTAATTTATGATTTTATTGTTGAATTAGTGGTTGCAAACACTAGTTTATGCTTAGTTGACTTGGGCTCTTCTTGAGAAAGAGAGCCTAAGTCTATAAAATTAGTCCAACAAGGAATAGGGGCGTACTCAAGAGAATTGATAGCCCCAATTAAAGGGTTAAACCGAGAGATCGTAATACCCGACTTGAACCTCTATTGCTTGCACAAATAGTCATACCCAATTGATCTTGAGAAAGTCAATTAGGGCAAAATCACTCGAACTACCGAGAGGTATAGAGTGAGTAGAATCGTACAATGGTTATATCGTA